CTGTCCTTACACTCTTCAGCTCAAGGCGAGTGCTCTACCGCTTGAGCCACAGCACCACTTCCTGTTTTCGAGTGCTTTATTGGAGATAAGAGTCTCACGGAGTTTCCTGCCCAGGCTGGCTTTGAACCGAGATCCTCAGATCTCAGACTCCTGAGTAGCTAGGATTACAGGTGTGAGCCACCAGCACCTGGCCCTTGTTTTTTCTAATTTTAATCTAATGCTAATTTGTAATTTTCTAATTGTAATATGTTTTATCTAATATTAGTTTTACTACCCCAGCCTGTTTATGAGGGCCATTTTCTTGGAAGACTTTGTTCCAGACTTTCACTTGAATAGTTAATGAAAGACAAGGATAAACAGAGAAATTGTTGCAGATTAGGTAAGCTACCTAGACAGGATAACTAAGCAAGCAGGCTAGATTAGATTTTTTGTGATGGAAACAGTATTAGTGAAAAATGCTGATGAGTATTAATAAAGCCAATGAACTAAAGCTGTTTAATCATATCTCTTGGTAATTATACTAAGGTTCAGTGGGTTTTCAGCATAGGAGATGCCAATAAATGACAAGTAGCTCTTTGAAATATTTTTGTAATTATTCTATAAATCTAAAATTATCTCAATACAAAGTCAAGGAATTGGGTTTCCCCAAAGTCCCTTAAGTAGACTATAGGGAACCTTAGTGGTTTAAGAGGGCACAAACTTGTCACAAATTTGAAATGTATTATGATATTGAAATTAGTTATCATGATGCTTTCAGAAATACTTTTACTCTCTTACTGTACATTTTTCAAAGTACATCTGTGCCTCAAACTTGGAACCAGTCAGTTAGTGGTTGGTAGCCTTTGTGTGTGGGCAGATACTTATCTAGTATCTGGGGACAATTTATCGCAGCAAGTATACCTTCAGGTTGTTGATGTTTTGCTGCTTGTATTGATTGAATTTGCATTTTTGTTGTCTTTGTGTTATAGCATACATTCTTTTCACAAACATGCATTAATATAGCTTCAGAGATTTGTAGGGGTATAAAATTTGAGACAGAAATGTTAATGAATTAGTTCAGAATTGCTAACACACATATAAACTGAAAAGAGTAATCCATTAAAAGGAAAAATCACAAGTATGTACTATTGAAAAGTTGAATTTTAACAATTTGTTGTATTAGTATGTTATCTGAGCTGAGATGAACCTCTGTAAAGAGTAGCTGCAAGAACTATGATATTTTCTTTAATGACATTTCCACAGAATGTTTCAGGACATATTTAGTAAACTAAGGGTATGGATAAAAAAAAATTACTACTGGGAAGGTGGCTCAGTGGTAGAGTGCTTGCCTTGCATGCCTGAGGCCCTGGGTTCGATTCCTCAGCACCACATAAGCAGAAAAAGCCGGAAGTGGCACTGTGGCTCAAGTGGTAGAGCGCTAGCCTTCAGCTAAAGAGCTGAGGGACAGTGCCCAGGCCCAGAGTTCAGGCCCCACGACTGGACCCAAAAAAAAAAATTACTACCATAGACTTTGTGTCCAGAAACGTAGACTCCATTGTGTAAATTTGAAAAATAAGCCTTATTTGTTCACTAATAAAGTGGGGGTAATGAAGTACTTAAATCACAGCAGTAGTGAAGATTAAAATAAATAACAGAACAAATACTAAAGTTTCAATAAACATCTTACAAGAAGAAATATTGTTATTGCTTTCATTGTTATTATCACTGTATTACTGTGACATATTGGAAAAGTGTGCATAAATTAAAAAATGTTAAGCATGTAAAAAAATATTGGAGACTAAATTGATTTGCAAGTTCCTCTTAATTCTCTTATATGTTGAATTAGCTGTTTCAGTATAAAGTATCCAAAGAAAATGACCTAATAGAAACTATAAAAATCATGCAATCATACTAATATATATTTATCACTATGTATACATGCATTCACTTTTATATATATATATATTATACGCATTTTACAAGAATGCCAATATTATACAAATATATACATATATGTGTACATAACCCTCTATTATATTATATATAGAGAGGAATGAAAAAGCCATAGATGGATAACTGGAGAGAGAAAAAGAGAGAGAGAGAGATTTGCTCTCTTAAGTAATTTGCTCAGACAATAAGTCTGAGACCTTAATAATACAAAAAAAAGAAGAATCTCAGAGACAGTGCCTAAGCCCTGAGTTCAAGCCCCAGAACCAGCCCCAAAAATTGAAAAAAAAGCTGGAGATGTTGCTGTGCTTAAGTAGTAGAGTGATGGCTTTGAGCAGAAAAGGCTAAGGGACAGTGCCCAGTTTGAGCCTAAGTACTATCACAAAAGAAAAAAAAATGTTATGTACTTAAACAATACTGAACTATACAATAAAAGGTTATAGTGCTGAGTTTTATATTATATATTTTTTTGCCACAATTTTGTCCAAAAGAGTATGCACTTTTACAATTTCATTAATCTAAAACCAGTGACAGAAAGTGGATGCCAAGAAACAAAGAACAGGGAAGGAAAAAAGAAGGAGGCCAAAAAAGGATTTCAAAGGGATAAAATACTGTTGTAGGGTACTGGGAGTGGTGGTACAAGGCTGTAATCCCTGCACTTGGAAGTCTGAGGCAAGAGACCATGAGTTTGAGGGAAGCCTAGAATATAGTCAGACCCTACTATAAAAAGGTAATTTATGGGCTGGGAATGTGGCTTAGTGGTAGAATGCTTGCCTAGCATGCATGATGCCCTGGGTTCGATTCCTCAGTACCACATAAACAGAAAAAGCCAAAAGTCAAGTGTTTGAGTGCTAGCTTTGAGCAAAAATGTTCAGGGACAGTGCCCTGAGTTCAAGTCCCAAGACTGGCCAAAAAACCCACATTGCTTTAAGTGGTAGAGCACCTCCCTAGCAAGCACAAAACAATGGAAACAAAAAAGTTTATAAATACATACAGGTTATTGTATGTAAATTTTATCTCAATAAAATTGTTTAACAAATCAAGCACTGATGCCTCACACTTGCGATCCTAGCTACTCAGTAGGCTAAGATCTGAAGAATACAGTATGAAGTCAGCCCAGGAGACAAACCTGAGGGACTCTTATCTCCAACTAACTAGTAAAAGGGCCAGAAGTGGCTCAAGTGGTTATGTTCTAATTGTGGGTGAAAAGGAGAGAGCAAAAGACCTACAGTTCAAGCTCCAGTACCTATACAGAAAAAAATGACTGCAAGTGTAGTGGAGTACCAGCTGAGTGAGCAAGCTGAGCGACAGTAAGGCCCTTAATTCAAGCCCAAATACTGCCCCCCCACACAAAAACGTGTGGCTAGGCATAGCGTGCATGCCTGTAACTCTGAAACTTAGGAAGCAGCAGTATTTTGAGATTTAGGCTCGTCTGGGGTACACAGCAAGACACTATCTCAAAAACAGAGTTTACCAGGTGCTAGTGGCTCATATCTATAATCCTAGCTACTCAAGAGGCTAAGATCTGAGGATCCTGGTTCGAAGCCAGCCCAGGCAAGAAAGTCCATGAGACTCTCACAGAAAAAGCCAGAAGAGGTGCTGTGGCTCAAGTGGTAGAACATGAGCCTTGAGCAAAAGGAGCTCAGGGACAGTGCCCAGGCCCAGAGTTCAAGCCCCAGGACTTGAAAAAAAAAAGTATAAATCCTTACTTCATCATCAATCTTCATTTGGAAATCTTCCTCGTTTTCTTCTTCTGGAGCAAAAAATGACTTTTCTCCATAGCCAGCATCCTGGAAGAGGACAATTCCATGCATGAATAGATCAAATGTGAAATACTTAGCATACATCTTACTGAACACTAAGTATAGACTATTAATGCATATATGCATGTATATGTCTTTAATGTATATATCACCTTAAAATAGTATTACCATCATTATTATCTATAACCTTAAGATATTAACAACATATGGCATGGGCTGGGAAGGTGGCTCAGTGGTACAGCGCTTGCCTTGCA